TCCTATTCCAGCGGCGAGGAGCTCGCCAAGGACATGGGCGTGCCGCTCTCTGTGATCGAGCAGACGCACGAGGAGCACTATGCCGCGGCAAAGAAGACCGAGAAGGATCCGGATGGCGGATCTTGGCCTGCTTACCCGTCTGGTAAGTCCTGGGATGAGGCCAGCGGAAAGACTGGCAGTGGCAAGAAGTTCTATCACAACATCATCCCTGGCTCAGCTGTGAAGAGCGAGCCTTTCTATGTAGCCATCATTACGCCTGTGATTCACTACTGCATGGGCGGTCTGCTCATCGACACTGACTCTGCGTGCGTTGGCCCCAACAACACCGCCATTCCTGGCCTGTATGCTGCTGGTGAGGTTGCCGGCGGCGTCCACGGCAACAACCGCCTGGGTGGCAACTCGTTGTTGGACTGCGTGGTCTTTGGCCGTGTGGCCGGCACGGCGGCTGCCAAGTACATGCTGGGCTCTGACATGAAGGATGTGGATCTTAAGCAGATCACGGGCGGTGGCTTGACGGGTGCAGTGGAGAGCTCCAAGTTGGCGGGAGGCTCCTACGAGGACAAGATGAACAATGCTGCTGCTGCAGGAGGGGCAGCAGCTGCCGGTGGCGGCGGCGGCGGTGGTGGCGGCTACAGCATGGCAGAGGTGGCCAAGCACACCACCAAGAGCGATTGCTGGGTCGTCGTTTCCGGCCAGGTGCTCGATGTGACCAGCTTCTTGGGAGAGCATCCGGGCGGCGAGCTCGCTATCCTGACTTTCGCAGGCAAGGATGCCACGGAGGAGTTCAACATGCCTCTTGGGCAGCAGGTAGTAGATTGTCTATGTGGTTGCTTGTAATCAACCAGCTGTTGAGTTTTTGATTGGCATGGATTGTCCCACTCCGCACGCAGCGGTGCTGCTGCAGGATCCATCCTCCTGATGTGATTGGCAAGTATGCTCCGGACTCCGTTATCGGCATGATTGGCGGTGGTGGCGGTGGCGGGGCAGTTGCCGGAGCACCTGCAGCAGGTGGTGGTGGTGGAGGTGGCATCACTTTGGAGGAAGTGTCCAAACACAACAGCAAGTCGGACTGCTGGGTTGCTTGGCTGCGTCATGAGGAACCAGAGCATGTGCTCTCTTCGTTGTGCTTGCAATTTGGGTATGGTTCAAAATGAAAGAGAGCTAGGGCTAACCGCAGGCTTCTTCTTTGCTTCCGTGTGCCAGGGCACCAATTCTCTAGCCACCGTTTCAGTCCCTGCAAGTCTTTGTGGCAGCTGCGTTAGCCCCAGGTGGTCGTGGATGGGCAGGCACGCGCTTGCTGTCTGAGCTTCCGAAATGGGGTGAGGCTCAAAGGGAACGGTACTGTGGATGGACAAAATCCGCTTCTCGCACCACTGGCAAACCATGGTGGAAACCATTTTTTGGTTGGTATTCACAGGGGAGTCGAGAATCATTCTAGGGTTTCTTGTGTGGTGCGAAATGGATTTCGTCCATCCACAGTAGGAGCCCGACGTCAAGATGTCTCGAATTCGTCACCATGCCAAAATTATGCCTTTTCCCCCCGATCATGGAAATGGACGGAGAGGTTTGGAAGGCTCGCCTTTTGCCCCTTCCTTGGTTCGGTCAAAATATGGGGGATTTTCGAGAATATTTGCCCGGGTCCTTCTAGTTTCTTTCTACCTGTAAAAGGGCCGTTCAACACACAACACACACACACTCGTTGTTTTTTGTTTGTGTTACGGCACCTTCTCGTGTTGTTTTCCCGAGAAACTACAGGGCAAACGGTTTGCCATTTTGGGGGGTCCGCTTCCTATTTCACAGCGCATCCATTTCGTGGGACATGCCTGGCAGCCCCACCTGGCATGGCACCCTTCAATTCTTCACCCGCTTTATGCGACTTCGCCTTTCCCGCGGTGTTCGAGCCGCGAAAGAAGGCACTGGACCGCCAGGTCTTGGATGTCACCTCGTTCCTCTCGGAGCACCCGGGCGGGGAGTTGGCCATCCTCACCTTCGCAGGAGCATTCGGCCGGCTTTTTTTTGCAGTGTTCAAAGGGGGAGCCCAACAAAAAGGCTGTTGGGCACCCAAAGGAGTGGTCACCTGGGAGTTGTTTTTTGAGACCAACAGTTTGGTGATGGAGCCAACATGGGGAAGGTGAATGGTTGAACCTGGCATGTTTCTCGAAGCACGCAAAAAGCAGGCAAGCCAGGCATCAATCAAACACCTGAGCCCAACATTCAGGCACCATCTTTCGAACAAGATGGGCTCAAGGTTTGAATACTATAGGTTTCCCGTTTGCACGGCGGACACCAGGCGTCGTGCCAAATCAAGGGGGTTGGGTGTGGAAGTGCGCAAAGATGTCTAAGAAACCGCCAACCATGAGAGCCGGGTGTTGCATCATCCTGCAAGGAAAGGACGCGACAGAGGAGTTCAACATGCCTGGATCTTAGACTGACAGTGCGACGGGGAGAGAAGAGGACAAACTGCCCAAAGTGGCACGACCTTTCTGCGAGCGAATTCCGAGGATCCACCCGCCGGACGTCATCGGCAAGTACGCCCCGGACGCGGTCATCGGCAAGGTGGGCACCGGGGCCCCCGCCGCCGTGCCGGCGGCCAGCGGCGGCGCGGCGGCTCCGCTGCTGGAGAAGGGCGGACACAAGGCGCCGGAGCTTGCAATGGCGGCAATGGACTGCAAATGGCGGTGGGTCAAAGCCAATGGGATCCCGTTTTGGTTGGTGAATTCACCGCCCATGGCCAAATCTGCCTGGTCTGGTAGAGAATGAGAAAACCTCTCTGGTCCACAAACATGGAACTCATGGAAGAAAGAAGCCTTTTATTTTGGCAGGGGGCCTGGCTTGGAGTCAGGTTTAGATGGGGCTTGGGCTGGCACGAGCTGCCGGTTTCGGTTTTGAGGAACGAAGCATACCATCGCCAGGCCAAGGATTGGTCCCGAGCCGAGAAGAACCGGGAGATGCGCATGAAGGGTGAGGGCAAGATCCCCGGCTGGTTCGGCGCCCTCTTCTACATGGCTGCAGCCTCAAAGCCGGTCAACAGAATCTCAATGCCTTGCAAGTGAGATCCCAGCTTGCACGGCTTGCATAACAACTTAATGTTAGAAGCCATGAACTTTTTGATCGCCCAAGTGCTTTGACCACTTGGCGCATAGCAGCTATGATTTTTTCGATCACCCCAGATGCTTTCGAGGTCTTGGGCTTCATGAAGGAGATCCTTTTCACCATCGTGCCGCAGAAGAACGTCACCTTCAACGGCGACCGTGTGGGACTGACGCGCCCCTTGGCCAACTGATGGGAGCAATGAGAGAGGGAGGGGCCAGAGACATAATTGCATTTTTTGTGACATGTTCATCCGTACCATCAGCACAGGCTCCGCGATGTTCCTCTTCATCTTCATTATCATCCACGCTGTGGGTAACCTCCACGTGTTTTTGGGCCCTGACGACTTCAACGGCTACGGCTACTTCTATGTGCGCCTCTACTGGACTGGCTTTGGTTTGCAGGCCAACATCGTGGAGGCGACCTGTCGCATTATAGCACGCACGTTTCTGTCAGCCTATCAAAACTGAAACTGAGAGCAAGGCTCATTGTTCCGCAAAAGGGGACCACAAAGGTGTGGTTTTGACACAACCCTTGAGATATCCAACCATATTGGTTGTCCCTTACTAACCTTCACAAGAGGTTCTGGCCTTGGTTGGAGAGACACTTGGACAGGAGTACATCCTGCTTGCCGCTCTGCTGCACGTTTTCGTGGCCTTGAAGAGGACCTGGGACATCAGCATCAACTACTCTGCTACTTAGCAGAGGAAGTTTGAGTGGAATACATGTGGGCGTGTCCTTTTTTGAGGGTACCCTTTTTGGTTAGTTTTCAGGGACACCTAAAGGAAGTATCATTTGGGGTCCCTTAAAAGAAGGCACACCAATATGTGCCGTTGCTGTTGTGGTTTGATCCGCGCGCGCAAATTGATTGTGGACATCGATTCACCTAGGTCGCCTCGGGCAAGCTGAACTTGGCCTTCTCCGGCGTCACGCTGCTGACCTTCATGATGATCCACCTCTACCAGCCGCTGGGATGTCGAGTGGACCCCACTGCCATGCTTGCCATATTTGCTACCTGAGTCTCTGCCGCTCTGCTTGCCCAGTGCGCGCTTTTTTTTTCTTCCGAGGTTCCGCTTCGGCGACACGCATCCCTGGAAGTTGTGCCCTCCTCCGTACCTGCTGAACCTGAAGACCCTCCTGGAGCTGCGGCTGAACCTCTTCTGGGTGGACGATCCCGGCTGCAAGGCCGTGTACGTGCGCGACATCTACCGAATGGAGTTCGAGGTCTTCCAGTCGCTGGGTTGGTGCCTCTTCTACATCGCCGCAGTCATCGTTTTCAGCACTCACATGTGCCTTGGCTGGCAGAAGGTCGTGCCGGCGCCTGCCTTGGAGATCCCCAAGAAGCACCAGAGCAGGGCCATCCACATGGGCTACGTCTTCACCATTTTCATCGCCCTGGTCTATGCCAGCTTCCCGCTCTACGCCCACCTCTTCAGCATGTCGGGCGGCAGCTTGAGCACTGAGCCAAAGCAGCCGGCCTAGTCACAAAGAGTTTCGCCCTCGATTAACGGTTAGTCCTTCGTCACACGTCGTGAGAGCCGCTGAGCTGAATGTTCAGCGCTTCTTGGACCGCACGTCGCGACCAGAGGCGGGCAAATTGCCTCAGCGCGTGCCCAACGATGCTTCTGTGAGCTGTGCCAAAAGCGGCGTTGCGTCGGAGTGGAGCAGGTGTGGATTCTTTGACCAAAGGAGGGTTGGCCGGGATACTCCTGCACCCTCGAAATTTCGACCATCACTGCTATTCACGTCTCTTTCTGAGGAGTTTTCGCGCTTGTCGCCAGAGTCTTCCCTTCCCGCCGCAGCCCATTTTTTACGCTCAAACGAGCGGCGAAGTTCGGCCGGCGATTTTTTCCTCGCCGGTCCGCAAGGGTCCGGCTCCTTCGCGCCTTCTCGCTTCACTTGGCTTCGCCATGGCGTCGACCTTCCCAACGAACCAGGCCATTGTCGTGGGAGGCGGACTTGGAGGCGGGGGCCGGCTGAGGGTCCTTGATGTGGGCGCTGCTCGGACGGTTTTTTCTTTTCTTCTCTGGGGAAGGAAGCAGTGCAACAGGGGCAACAGCAGCAGAAGGGTGAGCCACAATCGAACCCGGGAAGATGAAGCTTCTCGGCCGGTTCAACTCTTTCCATGGCTTTGAGCAGACGGTTTTCATACCAGGCTTGGATCCTGCGAGGCAGGCGGTCATTTTTTTTTCGGAGGAAACGGACAATGGGGGCCACGTCCTGGGCGATGACAAATTTGAGCCAAGGACTTGTTCTTGACGTCGCTTTTAATTCTAGTGCTACCTTCCCCATTCTTTCCAGGGATCCTTCTTTCTAGAAAACCTCCGGAAACCCAGGGAAACGGCCGGTTTTTGAAAAGAACGATGGTTGAAAATGATGGGGAATCAACAGTTAGATTAATGGGAACCCCGGATGGATCAGTAGAGCCGCTGGTTGATTTTGGTTGCTGGGTGTCCAATTCCTTTTGGTGGAAATCGGATCACTTTTTTGGGTGACACTCCCTAGCCAAAAAAATCGGAGGGGTTCGATTCCTCATGATAATTCATAGCCATGGGAGTTTCCCATCATCTCCCAAATCTTGTCTAAATCACAGCCCCAATAAAATTTCTAAGTCACAGCCCCAATAAAATTGGCCCTGTGGATGCATGTAAAAAGGGCTCTTAGCAAAGAGGAGCCGCCTCAAAAGTGGTTGGTGGGCATGAATCCCCACCTGGGTATGGGTCAACATTAACCCACAAAGGGACCGCAGGTTCTAGTCCTTATTTTCCTGAAACCAGGGCAGCCCATTTTGCGGTTACCCTATTTTTGACAACCACACCCAAGTAAGTTTGATGTCTACCAAAGGGTCGCCCAATATGCTACGGGTACAAGCAGGGTTCCACTTTTTGACTACCCAAGATAGACTTAAACCCAGGGGTTCTCCTTCTGGGGGGCATGAACCACCCCAGGGTTTAAGTCTATCTTGGGGTAGTCAAAAAGTGGAACCCTGGTTACAAGTATTGGATTGGCCGGAGCCTGCGAAAATCCGAAAAGTCTCAGGCATGTCGGCCGCGAACTCCGTGGTGGAGAGCGGAGGGCGAGTGGTTTTGTTGGCGGGGGCCTCAGCTATTCAGTCAAAGCTTTGGTGGTTTGAGACTTGCGCAAGCCAGGCATCTCCCTCAAACACTTGAGCCCAGCGTTGTGGTTGATCGCTCGGGGTTTCTCCAACCACTTCTGTGATACTTTTGGGAATCTCCCCCTGTATATGGGGGGTTAGTCTGCGGGAAGCCCTTTTTGTTGTTTCACAGAAGCGGCCATTTCCCACAACCCTGCTTGAGCCCAACCTTCAGGCGCCATCTTTCGAACAAGATGTGCTCAAGGTTTGAATACAATAGGTTTCCCGTTTGCACGGCGGACACCAGGCGTCGTGCCAAATCAAAGAGGTTGCGAGGGGAAGTGCGCAAAGATGTTTCTGACCTTCTGGTTTCCCTATTTCATGTTGAGCACCTTTAATTCGGGGTCCCGAGGCCACTGAGGGCTTTGGATTGGGATTTGAAGGTGGGTCTTGGCGTGTGGACAAATCCGCCATTCTGTCAGGACAAGTCCTCCTTCTGCGGCGGAAACAGCACGAAGGCCACCTCTGGCATCAACGGGGCAGGCGGGACTTGGGTCACCTCTCGACCCCGCTTGGCGAGTTTTTTTTTTTTTTTTTTTTTTTCCGCGGAAAAAGGCCTGTGGCTTTTTTTATTTTTTCCGCGGGAAAAGGCCCGTGGCGGTTTTTTCCTTTTTGCTTAGCATCTTTGGATCAGGGAGTCTGAATGTCAGGTTTCAGAGAAAACCAATCTGGGGTGCTGATGGATTTTTAGAAGCCTGGAACCGGATTGGTTCAGGTTCCATGAAAAAGGGGCCCCCAATGCCATGGTTTGCTCCAGGCACCAAGACGCAGAAGGCCAAGGGCATCCCCGACAACGCGGACATTTTCACGCAGGATCTGGGACGGCCGTCCTGTTCCCGTCCGGTCCGCTCCATTTGGAAGCCATTTGCACCATCAGTCTTTCCGCCAAGCAACGCCTTCAATCCAACCAACAAATCAATCTGACGATGGGCGATCAGGCTGAGTTGTGCAAAAAAGTTTAAAAGGGTGTGTCTTTTCTTGGGGGACCCGCAAGAATGGCGAGGGACACGCGAAAGGACGTGCACCATGTTCTCTTGAAGTCTTCGTTCGGCGCCCAACGGGGCGGATTTCCCGCAGTTGCAAGTAAACCAAGCTCAACCACAAGGCTCAGGGGAAATCCTTTGGAATCGGTCGGGTTGCGGAGCACTTGCACGGGATCGGGTTCGTTCCGCACATCTGAAAGCCTTTAGCTTGAGTCCTTCAACTCCGCTGGTGTCTACTTCGAAAAACACATCTCTACCGAGTCAAGGCATCCGGATCCGGAGCCGGAGCCCCCCCCCCCCCCCACACCAAAAACGCTTCCCCTTCCCCCTTTTTTTTGGGGGGCCGGTTTTCCCACCGGTTTTCTTTTAAAGGAGACTCCCCACCAAAATGGCATGGGAGAACCTCCGTTTCTTTTCCCTTGACCAAGCAAAAGCTGGGGGATTCCACCAAAATGGCAAAAGCGGCTTTCCAGGCGTTTTCCCTGGAGAAATCCCCAGCAAAAGCACGGCTTTTCCACCACCATTTTCCCCTGGAGAAATCCGACCAAGCAAAAAAGCACGGCTTTTCCACGACGCTTTCCCCTGGAAATCCCGACCAAGCAAAAGCACGGCCTTTCCCCAGGGAAAACAACACCCGCTCGACAGACCCGAGGACACGCTGAAGGGCGGCGCCAAGAAGCCGGAGCTCGCGAAGCCGGGGCCTCGATGGGGTTCATGCGCTTTCGAAAGCCATTTCCCGTGTGGGCGAAGCCCATTTCCTGGAAAAAGAATCTGGTTACCGAATTTAAACCAAATTCTCAAGTCCATTTCCTTAAGACAACCATTTTCCTCAAGTCCATTTCTCTTCACCGTATTTCCCTTTCTTAAAGATTTTCTCATTCGGGGCTCGAGGCTTGATTTCAAGAATAGGTACCCCAATTTCTTCTTTCCCATGCTGTGGAAACATGGACCAAAACCTGCGGTCCGATCACCCGCGGGTTGAATCGGTGGTTCCTTGAGGGTCCCAAGGTGTTGACAGCAGGAGGATCTTGATCAAAATGCGTGTGGCTACCAAAATTAGACAGGGAGGGGCAAGCCGCAGGTTTTGGTGCACGTTTCCACTTACCAGGGTTCGATTTTGGTACCGGTTTTTTTTGAGCCGCAGCCATTTCGCAGCACTTTGAATCCATGGTTGAAACCATAGTTTGTTGGTATTTACAGGGAAATCATGCTTCCACGGCTTCTTAGGTGATGCAGGATTTCGTCCATCCACGGTAGGTCTCCTTTTGATTGTAGTTTGATAAGAAATAGATCTGGTTAGATGGGTTCGGTCCATTTACCAGGGCCATCTATTTGTCCAAAAGGACACCTATGACCACCACTTTTGTTTGCCGGACACAAGAAGCAACATGCCGGCTCCCTTTTGTCAGGCAAACCACCACACCACAAAATTAAACCACTTGGAGGGAAGCTGAAGAGTGTGAGTGGCAGTTTTTGTGGGTGGAAACCCTGGCAGGGCCAACTGAAGAAGGCACGGGACGAGTAGAAAAGTCTCATGGTCGGAGAGACGTCGCCCAACACCCCCATTGGCAATTTTAGTAGGTGGTTCTACCTGGTTTCAAAGAAAATGATAGTAGTCACGGTCGCTCCTTGTGTTTTCTGACAACGCTCCGAGGCCTGAGGAAAGAACGGTGGTTTGCCCGAAATCCCGCATCAAGACACCGCCATGTTTTTGGCCCCAACTTTTTCGCGGCCTTGGAGCATGTCCGCTTGGTTTCTCAACATGGAACAAAAAAACACATTTTTGAGTGATTTATTGAAGCGATCTGAAACACGAAGCCATTCCAGGTCCTAAATATGTTGAAAGAAACACCAAGCGCCACTTGGTTGTGCTAGTGCATGCGGTCAAAACACCAAAGTTTGGCTTTGCGGAGGCCATGCTTTAAGACGCCTTTGGGATGTTTCTCTGGTTGGTATGCTTTGGGTTGCGCCTTGAAAATTCGATAAGCCAAAAGGGGGTCCATTTTGAAAAGCCTTCTACAAAGTCCGAAACATCCAAATCTTGAGCGGCTGCCAAACTTTCGAGCATAGGGGTGAGGCGTTTTGACCACGCTTCACTGGGCTCGATTGGTTGGAGCAGGGGCAGTGCAAGGGCAAGTGATGCGGTTGAGTCAAACCTGGGATGATCCAAAGGTGGGTACCTTTCAAGACGCAGCTTTTGTTGGTTGTGAGACACAAGAGGTACCTTTGAAGAAAGGCGCAGCCATTTGGCAGTGAATTTTAAGAGTTGGAAGCCCCTGACAAGGGGTTGGTGGGTTGCATCAATCCTCATGATGTCCAGGGGGTCCGGGACACAGGTCGCCGGGACACAAGTCCCTTGAGCATTGTCTAGAGTCATGTTCCGTAGAACGGGCCAGCTGTTGGGAAGCAAGGGGAAGTGACTAAGTACGAAGTCAACGGGACAATGCTCCTGTTGGAAGGTGATTTGGCACTACGCCTCGTGCTTTTATTGCTAATTGGGCACATTCAGCAAAACATTGTTGGTTGTTGCATCAATCCCCAGGCAACATGATGTCCAAAGACGCCAGCCAATTCCGCAGTACACCTCCTGAGGCTGCTGTGTGTGAACAGCGCTGCAGATGTAGACACCTGGCTGCCGTGGGATTGCGGGTTGGGACGGTTTTTGGGGGCCGGCTGGGAAATTGGCCATGGTCGATAGACGGTTGACACAGGGACACTGGACTCATTAGTATTAGGAAAGCAAGTTGGCAAAGCAGGTCAATCCAGTTCCAGGAATTTGTGCCGGTTGAACGGACACATAGTTTCTCTCATCCGCCAAGCTAGTAAGTTGTTGGTCACCTAGGTGATAACCTACTTATAAGCCCCGCTAAGTGCAGTTATCACCAGGGCAATCACTAGCTCACTTGAGGAATCAAACATAGTGCTGGATTCTATTTCTTGGAGAGCCAAGGGAACATCCACAATATGACTCCCGGTAGTAGAGCCACCTAACATCCCTTGTGTGGGGACTCACGGGGACTCGCTGAGGACTGGCTGGTGGAGAAGTTCAACCTGGATCTGTCCCTGGTGGCACGCCTGGGTGGCCACTCGCAGCCCCGCACCCACAGAGGCAAGGAGCGATTCCCTGGCATGACCATCACCTACGCCCTGATCCAGATGTTGGAGAAGGCGGGCTGGCAGCAGAGAGAGAGAGAGAGAGAGAGAGAGAGAGAGAGAGAGAGAGAGAGAGAGAGAGGAGGGAGGGAGGGAGGGAGGGAGGGAGGGAGGGAGGGAGGGAGGGAGACAGAAAGCGAGGGAGAGTGAGAGAGAGTGAAAGTGTAAGTCATTACTGCAGCTTTGTCAGCCGGCAGCTGGCGCACGATTAGCAGACCCACAGCCTTTGAAGCTTCTTCAGCCTTTGACACCTCCTTTTTTCAGCCCTTTGTAGCCCTTCTGCAGACACCAATCGGCCGCAGTCGCCGGAGTTTCGGGAATGCGGAATGCTTCCTGGGATGGCTAAGCCAACCCCATCGGTAGCTTTAGAGGAAACCAAAACGAAACCAACCAATTCGGTGGGTCCCACCTCCCGACATGGGTCCAACCTGTTAAAAGACGACCACAGGGAAAACCAATTGGGTGGGTCCCCCCAACAACAACTTTCCAAGGGCGGCAATTTGGTGGGTCCAACCTAAAAAGCAAGCCGTGGGTCCACAAAGGGAAAACCAATTGGGTGTCCCCCCGACTTCCCCACAAATTCCAGCAGCCCTAGGTGGCTGAGAAGACGGACCTGGCGCGCATCATCACCAAGGCCAAGGTCTTCAAGCTGGCGCCTTTGACAAGAAAAAGAGCGACCGTCGTCCCTTTGTTGGACTGTCATTTTGAGGGGCAAAGTTTTGTTGGCGTTTTTTGGTGTTTTTTGGTTTGTATCTTCTGGTTTGCATTTTTTTGAAAAAAAACAAGTTTGTATGTTCTGGATGGCATTGTCTGTTTTTTGTTTTTTTTTGGTTTGTATGTTCTGGTTGGCATTTTGAGGGGAACAATGGTTGGCGTTTCTAATTTGGGGTTGGCATTTGCTGGACTTGGCATTTTGAGGGCTTGAAATGGAAGGGAACTGTAGGCAGTGCACATGGCACTTGAGGGACCTTACTATTGGGCTTGGGAAAATCTGGTGATTTTTTCCACCATAGGGATGGCCAGCTGTGACAATTACGAAGCCATACTGTGGATGGACAAAACCCTGCACCACCTAAGAAACCCTGGCATGATGATTCCCCTGTAAATACCAACAAACAATGGTTTCCCATCGTTTCAAAGTGGTGCAGGATTTTGTCCACCCACAGTATCTCGGGGGGGGACGTTAACCGGGGTCTAGCAAGGGGGTTCCGGCCTGCACCAATCAAGTGTGTATACGAAAGGAACCCACTAGATCCATCATGTTTACACAGCTTTGGACCATTGTTTGAACAACCTCCTGTTGATTTTCCTTTTAAAGAGGACCAGGGGTTGGTTGTTTTGCAGCAAGTTTTTGCAACCAACCCAGATACACGTCCTGTTTACTATGGGGGGGTCATGAGGGGCCCTTGGAGAGTTGCAGAGTACTGGCTGTACCCCCTGTTCTATTTGTTGGGGGGTGGTCGTTGGTGGGGTCAACGGCAAATCATAGAACATATGATATCCCTTTGCATGCTGGTTATACAGTGGCAGCATACCCATTGAGTCGCTCTGAGAATCCTGCAGCACGAAAAGATCTACAGGAGATCCGTGATTTTGTTTGTGGTTTGGATTGCCAATTTCCGCTTGAATGTCTGTAGCTTGCTGGTTTTGCGGTATATATACACCCTTTGCATGCTGGTTGTTTACGTTGAGTTGCTAGAGGTGGCGGGCGGTTTTGTGGTAGACGCCCTCTTGGATCACTGGGGGCAGGCGCCCAGACGTCAGGTGACGGAGGGCAAGGTCTGCGTGGGCTGCGTCTACGAGAAGGGCGGCCAGAACTTCCAGGAGTTCGGGCCCGTGATTTTGGCCTCCGGCGCCTTGCAAAACCAAGCCTGAGACAGGTTTAAGGTCCAAAAGTTGCAGCCTGTGGTTGAGAATGATCGTTCCCCTGTCCCTCGGTCACTGCAGATTGCAGGAAAACACAAAAAGAACAAGAACATGTTCTTTGCACAGCCGACCGCAGCCGGGGTGATTTTTGAGGGGTTTTCCTTCAGGGAACCCTTGATTTTCGCGAACCGGGTGGTGCAACGTGTTTTGCGTTGTGTGTGTGTACTGTGTGCAGCTTGTCCTTGCCCTCATTTGGCAGTGGGTCACAAAAGAGTACCCCAAAATACCCCAGGACTAAAACCTGCGGTCCGATTCCTGGTGGTTTAGTTTTGACCCATACCCATTTGTTGCCCTCGCAAGTCGCTTGCAACTGCCTTGCAAGCTCCTGATGCTCAGTGACTCAGGCGGCTTCGGCGCCGACTTCACCAGCAACTCCCTGCTGGCGCAGTACCGGCCGGACCTGCTGCACTTGCCCACCACCAACGGTGAGCACTGCACCGGCGACGGCATCAAGATGGGCGAGGCTGGGTTTGCTTGGTGGCGTAGTTTGATGCCCAGTCCAGGAGGTGGCTTGGTCGGCGGCAGTTTTTTGAAATGCACTGCTCTGCGAGGCCATTGGTGCGAAGAGCATCGACTTGGAGTGGGTCCAGGTGCACCCCACCGGCCTCGTCAAGCCGGATGATGCGGATGCCAAGATCAAGTTCCTGGCGGCCGAGGCCGGGCCCGTGTTCGACCTCAGCTTGCTTCGGCGCGTAGGAGGGATTTTTCTCTTCCTGGAGTCTCCATGACCCTTGAAAAATGGGGTCATTGCCCAACATGAAGGGGTTGTGACCCTCTTTTTCTAAGGGTCGTGGTGACTCTAGGTTCTTGTTTAGTGGCCGGAAGAGGAAAGGTCGCGACTTGAGATGAGAAGCGCCAACACGAGGGATTTTGGACCGCGCATGGAAGCCGAAACGGGAGGCTCTGCGTGGAGTGGGCGGCATCATCCTCAACGCCGAGGGCAAGCGCTTCTGCAACGAGCTGGGTCGTGGGCAGCTCAGGGCGAGCGAGCGAGCTGGCTCCTCTTTCTTCGGGGACCCCAGGTTTTCCTTTTGGTTTCCATCCAGCCAACAAGAAACGGTTGACCTAGAGTCTCCATGACCCCTGGAAAAGGGGTCATGTAATGAACCCCTTTTTTCAAGGAGACTCCGGGTATAACCATCAGGCAAGAACAGGAACCATCTACCCCTGTGACGTGGCGGTTGACCCTTCGGCGGTCCCCCTCACCCAAAAATGAAAATGGGTAACTTTTACCACGTGGCGAAAGTCAACTATGTTTTGGGTGGTTTCCCCAATCACCTCATGTTCATCGGACCCTTTAACCATCCAGCCTCAAAGAAAGACACACTCAAATGCCTGTAATTTAGGGGTTTCATTTGTTCCCTTGCCGATATAGGGGGTTTCATCCACCATGGCAAGAAACACCAAGGCCGCGACTATGTCACTGGCGAGATGTGGAAGAGCAAGCCCCCCTTCAGGCGGAAACGATTCGATGCGGAATCTATTGGGAATGGGGGAACCCGGCAGGTAGAAAACCAGGGATGGTTCACAAGTTCCCTCATTCCTTAAACCACTAAGAGAAGGGGTAACCGGGGTCAACCTTGACACTTGCACCCTCCTCCGCCAGACTTTGGAGAAAATTTCAAGACTGCCTCGTCGTGGTTCAATCTTATTCCTGACGGCAAGAAGGGCTGCGAGCGAGTATTTTTTGTGCGCTGGAACAAGACCTCCTCTTGTAGGATGTGTGGAACCAGCATGTGAGCCACAATCAAAACCTGGGTAGATGAAGGTTAGTAAAAAACGATCCCAACCATGAATAGCTGCGGCCGCCTTCTTAATGCTGTACATGGTTTTGGGTAGACCATTTTAGTACCAGGTTTTGATTTCGATTCATGTGAGGATGGCACAGATGGGACTGACATGAGACCAAAAGAAAGCCAACCATCGGTTTCCAAAGGACCACATAAGACGACCAGAAGAACACCAACTCGACCCTCCCCCGAAATGGACCCCGAAGATCCAAAAAAAAAGGTAGGCTTAAATTCCCAAGAATCGCCCTATCAGGGGGTATTTCAAAAAACACCCATCTTGGTTTCCACATTCCCAAGAATCGGTTCCTTTTTTTGGGGCCGCTATCAGGGGGTATTTCAAAAAATGGAATCCTGCCCCCCTTGGAAACTCCAGTGCCAAGCGCAGGCTCTGCCTGAACAAGGCATCCTCGGATGAGATCATCTGGCACTGCAAGCCGCTGGGCGCGGGCGCATCGCGCGGGTTTTTCGGGTTTCGGGTTTCGGCGGTCGGAGGACCGGAGGCCTCTGCATTTTTTTTTAATTTATTTTTTTTTCGATGGATGCACCTGGAGTCTCCTTCTGACCCTCAAAAATGGGAGTCAGGACCCAAAATGAAGAGGTGATGACCCCTTTTTTTCTGGGAGTCATGGAGACTCCAGGTGCATCCGTTTTTCAGGGCTCCTTAAAAGATACACTTTGCAACCTCTTGACAAATGGCTTTTTCCACCAAAAAATGGAAACCACCATTTACAAGGCAATGTTCAGGTGTATAATGTAAGGATCCCTGTCAAAAAACTTGGACAGATGCAAGCCACGCCTTTGCCTCCTTTGGAGTTCCATTGCGTAGGTCGACCTCGTCCTAACCCGCGGACGAGTTGGACATCTCTTTCGAAGGTTTCAATCAGCTCCTTTTGGTTCCCATGGATCCTTTCCTTGGGGCGATTTTTGTTTTTTCTTTTTCGGTTGGACGTAGTGGGCGTGTCCTTTTTTTTTCCCGATGGGAAGTGGCGGGTGATAATTTTTTTTTTTCGGCGACCCCGTTCCAAAATGGATTGGGGGTGTTTTTTTGGGTTTCCCTTTAAAGCCAATCCCAAAACAGGGGTGCCGAGCCTCAAAAAAAGGCTCACCCAACTGTGGATGGACGAACACCATTTCGCACCACCGTTCAGAAACCCTAGAATGATTCGTAAATACCAAGAAACGCTATGGTTTCAACTCCATGGGGTCCTGTGGTGGTGCGTTTTATGGATTGCGCAAGCATCCACCGTTTGAAACCAGGCGGTAGAACCACCTACCATGCCCTTTTTGCCGACCTCCTTTTTGTGGAAACACTTAGGGCCAAACAGATAAACATCACCTCCCAACGAAAACTCACCTTAGGGCCAAGAAGGTGTACATACTATATATAATATATGTATATATATATATATATATGGTACCCCCCCCCCCCTGGAATACTCTGGTTTTTGGCCAGAAATTGACATTTTGGCTGTAACAATGCATGCAAAACACACTTTCCAGCTTGTAAAATGAGGCTCTAAAATATGCACTCCTTTTTAGACTTAAATTCTAGCATCGGTACTTAGTGCCATCCAGGATGTGCTAGCACGTGCTAGCACATCCTGGATTGAAGATTGAAGATTCTCAGACCACTTGTTCTGGAAATCTTCAATCCATCCTGAGGACAAACTAGTATGTCCTAGCACGTGCTAGCACATCCTGGATTGAAGATTGAAGATTGAAGACACGTGCTAGCACATCCTGGATTACTCTAAGTACATATTTGGAGAAATTCAGAAAGAGTTGTCAGAGAATCTTCAATCTCCCATCCAGATCCTGGATTGCCTTAAGTGCGGATTTGAAGAATCCAAAAGGCAGACCGGGAGTGCACGTTGTCAGAATCAAGATGTGGATGTGCACTTGCACTGCCTGCAATTGGCCAGGGGGAAAAATGTTGCTGACACCTTTGCGGTTTTTTTTGTGGACTTGAGGGCTGGCCAGGATGGAAGATTCTCAAACAGAAAGTATGGTAGATCTTCAATCTTCAATGCAGGGGGCGAAACCTTACTGAGTCTGGAACAAACTGTCAAGTTTTTTGGGGACCAGGATTGAGTATATTCTAAACATATGTTTGTGGAATCTTGTATATTCGATGTTCGATCCAGGGCAACACGATCTGAGCAAATGCTGAATATCACTGCGTTTTACAGCATTTATGCAAAAAATAGGATCTATGATTGAAAACACGTTCCTGTCATTGGCTTGGCTCAGTTCTTGCTTGGTTCAAACTACATGGAGTTCGATAAGGACAATAACCCTTTCAAAATTGAGTTTGATTCCAGATTCATTTGGCCATGACAATAGCTATCTTCTCCAGTTGTTTTTTGAAATGCACAAGAAACTGCAAACGAGTAAACTTGAATTTGGTTTGAACTCGAAAGCTTTTTTTAACTGGATATTCTTCCCTTACTTGAATTTCAATAGTTGTTATTGGCGATGATGGAACCAACTTAGACAAGCAACACACACACACACACGTGGGATAGTTGCTTTGCAACATATGTTTCAAATAGACTGAACTAGCATGTCAGGAATTATGCACAACACTCGAGTTAACATGTAAATGCAACTGCGCAAGGACATGAATTAGGAATGAGTTCTTTTCCCCGAGTTGATGTTTTGCTGAATTTCGCTGCCAAACAGAAATAATAAACACCAAATAATAGGGCTGCGACAGGCGCGTTGAAGCTGCCAACGCATACTTCGCGCACTATTCCTGTACTGAACAGTTGTGTTTTTTGAGCTGGAGCTGCCAAATTGCACTCTGCATACTCCAATGTGGCTTTAAGTGCACTTCGCGCACGCCAATGTGACGGTCACACAACTCGCAACTCCTAATCAACGTTGAGCTCAACTTCTGCTTGGTTAGAATTTGAGTTGAGTTGAGTGTCCAGTTCATTTCAGAGTCTCAAGGCACTTGTCACCCCCAGTCTGGCCAAAAACCTCAGTTCTGCCCAAAAACCTGAGTATTTCAAGGGGGGGTAGTATATATATATATATATGTCTTATTATGTATATCTAGACATTTACTTACATAGGACATATATATATACATATATACATATATATCTATGTATATACTTGGGACATCTATCAACCCGTTTTTGGGCGCGACGTCCATTTACAGCTGACCTTGCGCCCGCCTGGCCCGAGGCACTACACCGGCCGGGGGGCCGGGATCTCGGGCGGCCCCGCCCCTCAAAAGGGAGAGGGATATTTGGCGTGATCTTTTTTTTGGGCGGGGGGGGGGGGGAAACATGAAAAGCTTTTTTGGATCCCATTTAGGTTCACCCGATTGCCAATGAGGGAACTATGGGCCAGGAGCCCAGAAGCTTGACCACGCGTTGGCTTTGCGACTGAGGTGATGAAGTCCTATTCCAGCGGCGAGGAGCTTGCCAAGGACATGGGCGTGCCGCTCTCTGTGATCGAGCAGACGCACGAGGAGCACTATGCCGCGGCAAAGAAGACGGAGAAGGATCCGGATGGCGGTTCTTGGCCTGCTTACCCGTCTGGTAAGTCCTGGGATGAGGCCAGCGGAAAGACTGGCAGTGGCAAGAAGTTCTACCACAACATCATCCCTGGCTCAGCTGTGAAGAGCGAGCCTTTCTATGTAGCCATCATTACGCCCGTGATTCACTACTGCATGGGCGGTCTGCTCATCGACACTGACTCTGCGTGCGTTGGCCCGAACAACACCGCCATTCCTGGTCTGTATGCTGCTGGTGAGGTTGCAGGCGGCGTCCACGGCAATAACCGCCTGGGTGGCAACTCGTTGTTGGACTGCGTGGTCTTTGGCCGTGTGGCCGGCACGGCGGCTGCCAAGTACATGCTGGGCTCTGACATGAAGGATGTGGATCTTAAGCAGATCACGGGCGGTGGCTTGACGGGTGCAGTGGAGAGCTCCAAGTTGGCGGGAGGCTCCTACGAGGACAAGATGAACAATGCTGCTGCTGCAGGAGGGGCAGCAGCTGCCGGTGGCGGCGGCGGCGGTGGTGGCGGCTACAGCATGGCAGAGGTGGCCAAGCACACCACCAAGAGCGATTGCTGGGTCGTCGTTTCCGGCCAGGTGCTCGATGTGACCAGCTTCTTGGGAGAGCATCCGGGCGGCGAGCTCGCTATTCTGACTTTCGCAGGCAAGGATGCCACGGAGGAGTTCAACATGCTTCTTGGGCAGCAGGTAGTAGATTTTCTATGTGGTTGCTGCAAGTCCAACCTGACAAAACGACATCAACAACTGGCCGACATGGCTTTCAGGCAGACTTCTGATTGTTGATAAACTTCCGTGCGTCGTCATGTTGTTGGTTCTTGATTGGCATGGATTGTCCCACACCGCACCTGGTGATACTGCTGCAGGATCCATCCTCCTGATGTGATTGGCAAGTATGCTCCGGACTCCGTGATCGGCATGATTGGCGGTGGCGGCGGTGGCGGGGCAGTTGCCGGAGCACCTGCAGCAGGTGGTGGCGGTGGAGGTGGCATCACCTTGGAGGAGGTGTCCAAACACAACAGCAAGACGGACTGCTGGGTTGCTTGGCGGGAACGACCGGCAACATGCCGTGAGGCAATAAGGGAATGATCTTGTTGTGCTTGCAATTCCAGCTGCTGCACGTGCTCCTGCGCAGAACCTGCAAGCATTGACATTGACTGAGGTTGTTGTGGATGGGCAGGCGGGATGCCTTTCCCGGCAAATCCGCCGTTGATGCCCTTTAAATTCTGCAAGTAAGCCAACCACATTCAACCGCACACAAAAAAAGGTAACTTACGGCAGCTTATTGTTCCCAAACTTGCAATATGTAGGGCATGCACTATCACTCAGGAAGTGACATTTTTGACACACACACACACAAACACACGCATCCATGGGTTTGTCTCAAGATACGTTTTGGTTCCCTTTGAAACAACCCCCCCCCCCCCAAACAAAAAGAGACAATCGAACGCACACAGCCACAGCTTGGGGCAAAGCCAAACGGACGGAGTTCGCCCGTCGGCCGCCGAAAAACCTCGAGATCTCGGCCAGGTCTTGGACGTCACCTCCTTCCTCTCAGAGCACCCGGGCGGGGAGTTGGCCATTTTGACCTTCGCAGGCGCCGAAGGGCGGTGGGAAGACACGGGGGGACCATGGGGGGGGGGGGGAAGTGTTGGTTCTACCGTCTTATGGCTAGGGAGAAAGCACATTGGGTACTTCTTCAATGATCAAAGGTTTTTTTTTGGGAGGCAAAGGGGAAGCATGTTATGTTTGCAGGATGGGAGACCCGCGGGCCCGGAAGCATTTGAATTTTTCTTCCTTTGGCAGTGGTAGGTGCGCAAGGGATTTGGCTGGCTGCCTGGTCCGTTGGTCGGCGGGCTGGCTGGTTGGTTGGTGGGTGGGTGGGTGGGTGGGTGGGTCGCTTCGTCGGTCGGTCGGTCGGCGTTCAAGGAGATCTCTACACTTAGGGAAGCCAGAATTTAAGCAACAGTGTTTTAAACCCTGCAAACCAGCTATTCATGAAGCAGTCTTTTTTTCCCCTGCAAACCAGCTATTCATGACACTTATTTTCGCACTCGCTCCAAGCCGACCTCACCACCTTTTCCCACCAGCAGTGGAGACCGCGAAGAAGCCTTTCAAGACGTGGGAGTGTGCAGATTCGAGGGGTTGCCCTGAACGGGGCCTAAGCGGTCTCTTTCGTACCACCTGCTTTTGTGGTGTTTGTAGCCGGGGCTTACATGAAGCTTTAGAACCATCCTGGTGGACCACTGACAGCTGCACAAGAAACAAGTGGTTTCTTGGCGTGATGCGCAAGCGGCAAGGAAAGGACGCGACGGAGGAGTTCAACATGCCTGCAGCTCAGAGTGGCGAGTCAGGTGAGGTAAAAGAGAGAGAGAGAGAGAGAGAGAGAGAGAGAGAGAGAGAGGGGGATTGGATGGATGGATGGATGGATGGATGGATGGATGGATGGATGGATGGATGGATGGATGGGTGGGTGGATGGATGGATGGATGGATGGGTGGGTGGGTGGGTGGATTGGGTGGGTGGGTGGGTGGGTGGATGGATGGATTGGGTGGGTGTGTGGGTGGGTGGATGGATGGATTGGGTGGGTGGGTGGGTGGATGGATGGGTGGGTGGATGGGTGGATAGATAGCTAGATTCAGATAGATTAACAAAGAGAGAGATAGAGAGAGAGAGAGAGAGAGAGGGGACCCCCCAAAATGGTGGGTTTTCCTTTTGGTTTTCCTTGAACACCACCCAAAAGAAGGGGTGTTACCCCATTTTGAAGACACACCCAACTACTCGGAGGGGAGGGGCTTCACCTGTTTCCTCGAGCCACCTGCGAATTCCGAGGATCCACCCGCCGGATGTGATCGGCAAGTACGCCCCGGACGCGGTCATCGGCAAGGTGGGCACTGGGGCCCCTGCCGCCGTGCCGGCGGCCAGCGGCGGCGCGGCGGCGCCGCTGCTGGAGAAGGGCGGACACAAGGCGTGGAGAAGAGCCAGGGGCTACTGTGAGATCATTTTCTGAACGGGACCGGGTCCCGAACGTCAGGTTCCATGTGAATTGGAGGGTAGCCTATGGTCCATTTGGGAGGGATGTTGCGGGATCACCAACGAACATGCACATTTGGCCCCTTTCCAAGCGGGGTCTGCACACTTCCATGTTAGTCGGTGGGAGGGCAACATGGAACCTGACAGGACTCCCCGGAAGATCATTTTGCTTTTGAAGGGACCAGGGGATGAGTTCCCCTTTCCCTGAACAGCCAGAAAAAGCGCATGCTTCCACGCCGTGTATTGGAACCAAATATCTTGAACGAGGCGTGTGTGGCCCAATTCCGGCCGTACGAACAAGAGCTTTCGGACTGCCGGAAATTCTTCATCGCCAGGCCAAGGATTGGTCCCGAGCCGAGAAGAACCGGGAGATGCGCATGAAGGGCGAGGGCAAGATCCCCGGCTGGTTCGGCGCCCTCTTCTACATGGCCGCAGCCTCAAAGCCGAGGCAAGAGAATCCAGCCGCGGGATTTCAGCTTGCGCGAGAACGTGAAAAGCATTTGGGCACCCATGTGTCAAAAGCTATGATTGATAGTCACTCAAATGCATTCGAGGTCTTGGGATTCATGAAGGAGATCCTTTTCACCATCGTGCCGCAGAAGAACATCACCTTCAACGGCGACCGCGTGGGCCTGACCCGCTCCTCGGCCAACAAACGGGAGCAAGGAGAGAGGGAGGGGACTGTTTTGGCAGCATGGGTTCATCCGTTTTTGCCGTGCTTCTCGTGTAACGACATTCTAAATGGCAGAGTTTGGGGGTCACTAGGCTCAGCGATGTTCCTCTTCATCTTCATCATTATCCATGCTGTGGGGAACCTCCACGTGTTCCTGGGCCCTGATGACTTCAACGGCTATGGCTACTTCTATGTGCGCCTCTACTGGACTGGTTTTGGTTTGCAGGCCAACATCGTGGAGGCGCTCTCTCCAGTCGGCTTTCTGACACACGTTGGTTTCTCTCCGCCGATCAAAGCTTGAGCTCGTTGACTCGTTGTGGCTCGCAACAAGCTCTCCGCAAGTTTTTCCTGGGGACCAACAAGATGTGGGTTTTTTGGACACTTGAGATATCCCACCATATTGTCCCTGAACCTTCACAAGAGGTTCGGGCCTTGGTCAGCACTTTCCGAGCCACGTCCCTTTAAAGGGAACCTCCAAAAGTGGCGATCGTTTTGGTGGGCACCGGCTATAAATTGATCAACCTTTAAGAGGAACTCCAGTGACTTCCTATTGGTTGGAGGATTCTTGTTGGCAGGAGTACATCTTGCTGGCGGACAGGGGGGGCCAAAAGATGTGATTTTGACACAACCCTTAAGATGTCCAACCATATTGGTTGTCCCTTACTAACCTTCACAAGAGGTTCGGGCCTTGGTTGGAGGATTCTTGGACAGGAGTACATTCTGCTCGCCGCTCTGCTGCACGTCTTTGTGGCCTTGAAGAGGACCTGGGACATCAGCATCAACTACTCCGCGACTTAGCAGGGGAAGTTGGAGTGGAACACAAAGTGGGCGTGTCTTTTGTTAGGGTAGCCTTTTGGTTGGTTAAAAAAGGGACAACTGAAGGACACCATCATCTTGTGGGGTGCCTTAGAAAAAGGCACACAAAAAAGTACCCTTGATGTGGCTTGATCCGCGGATTGGGGAAATTCGGCTTCGCCCAGGTCGCCTCGGGCAAGCTGAACTTGGCCTTCTCCGGCGTCACGCTGCTGACCTTCATGATGATCCACCTCTACCAGCCGCTGGGATTTTGAGTGGACCCAAACCCTTTCATAGCCCTCCAGAATCCTCCCCCTCCTTGAGGCTAACTCTAAGCTCTAAACCCTACTCCTTAAGCCTTAACCCTTGACTTCCCAGAATTCACTTTCCTAGCCGCCCCCACTCCAGCCACCACTCCATCCATATCCTTACTGCCTTGGCTAAGCCTAAACTTTCAACATCTGACTTCCCGGAGTTGCACATCCCCCACTCCAGCCACATCCCCCTGCCATGTCTGCCTTTGCCCGATGCACATTGGCCGAGGCCCTGCCGCCATGTCTGCCGCTCTGCCCAGTCGGCGCTTTTCTTTTTCTTCTTAAATTCCGAGGTTCCGCTTCGGCGACACGCATCCCTGGAAGTTGTGCCCTCCTCCGTACCTGCTGAACCTGAAGACCCTCCTGGAGCTGCGGCTGAACCTCTTCTGGGTGGACGATCCCGGCTGCAAGGCCGTGTACGTGCGCGACATCTACCGAATGGAGTTCGAGGTCTTCCAGTCGCTGGGTTGGTGCCTCTTCTACATCGCCGCAGTCATCGTTTTCAGCACTCACATGTGCCTTGGCTGGCAGAAGGTCGTGCCGGCGCCTGCCTTGGAGATCCCCAAGAAGCACCAGAGCAGGGCCATCCACATGGGCTACGTCTTCACCATTTTCATCGCCCTGGTCTATGCCAGCTTCCCGCTCTACGCCCACCTCTTCAGCATGTCGGGCGGCAGCTTGAGCACTGAGCCAAAGCAGCCGGCCTAGTCACAAAGAGTTTCGCCCTCGATTAACGGTTAGTCCTTCGTCACACGTCGTGAGAGCCGCTGAGCTGAATGTTCAGCGCTTCTTGGACCGCACGTCGCGACCAGAAGAGACGGGCCGCGGCAGACAGTCACAAAAAGCAGCGGCACCAATGGTGTGATGCACCGATGAGTCTGCGTTTGTTTCTATAACCCATCTTCGTCTTGTTACAAGTTGCAGTGAACTGAGGTTGGCAGGCTGAGAAGGCAAAGGTTTGAGCAGAACCATGCCCCTTTGCCCCTTTGCCTCTTCCCCCCTTTGCGCCTTTGCGCCTTTGACAGGGTGGCACAAGCCAGCCGCGCCATTTCTAATCTCAGCGCGAGAAGGCGCAGTTCGAAGCAAGTAGCTCCTCGGGGTGCGGCAGGCGGGGGGGGGGATGCTGGGAGCAGTTGGATGGGTCCATGGAGTCGGTAGCAAGGGACAGCAAATGGGTGCGGCGCAAATGGCCAGGGGATTCAGGTTTAGCTCATGTGGGTGTGGCTCAAAATTAAAGAGCTGGGGTTGCGCAGGTTTTAGCCTTGTTCCATTTATCAAGGTGCCAAATTGGTACTTGTTTTTGAGCCACAGCCATGTTTCCACTTACCCATTGTGGTGTTACCCCATTTTGAAGTGTAGGAAGGCTGAATGCCAAGTCATCGGGCTGATTTTCAGTTGGTTTCAAGCTCTCACACACGCGTTATTCATGCGGCAAAATCCGAAGGACAAGCAAAGGCGGCGGCAAGTTCCGGTGAAATCGATTGCAAATCGATGAGGTGGCTTCTTGAGTGGCGACCCGTCCATAGTCTGTGCCTTTTTTTTCGTGCGTCCTCTTCAGTTCGGTCGGGAGAGAAACCCAAGGCCTCCAACATGGTGCGTATTTGACAGGGCATCGCTTCAAGAGGACATTCAGCTTCCAGGTACCTGCCATGGCAAGGGAGAATTCCGGGTAAGTACCTTTTAGTACCTTTTCCGCCAACCCCCCTCCCCCCCGCTCCCTCCCCTAAAATCCCCCCTCCCCCGCTCGACTCGCGACTCGCCAGGGGCTCGCGGGCGATTTCGCCATGGCGTCCAGTTTCCCGACGAACCAGGCCATCGTGGTGGGTGGCGGCCTGGGAGGCGAGGGGGCGGGTGGGTGGGTGGGTGGGTTGTCTCCAGGACGAGGGGAAGCATGTTGGGGTGAGCTAAAAATGAAAGAGACACATGTTTACCCCGACATCTGGGTCGAAACAGAACAATTCTGACCTGGGCGTTTCGTTTGGAGCCAGCGTTCGTGTTAGGTTTGACTCGGGAAGTCCAGCAAGGTCAAGTCCATTTGACGCTGTGTAGGGTATTTTCAGATGATTTCTGATGCATCACCAGATGTTGGAAGCCAAAGTGAAGTTCTCCAGCTGCAAGCAGATAAAGGGTATAAACTAGGTAACCCTTCACTGGTTTGGAGTGGCCCAGAAACAGCCTGGGAGGGGGCAGCTGCGAAATTATCGGGCGGGAAATTCCCCCGTTATCGGCGGCGGCTGTGGGAAACCTCCGTTTTCGGCGGCTGCTGTTTTTTTTTTTTCTCGTTTTTTTTTTGGGGGGGGCGGGTTTCCCGTTTTCGGAGGCCGAGGAATGGGGTTTTGCTCCGTTTTCGGCGGCTGCCCCCTGTGGGTTTTGGGTTTTGGGAGCGGGGGGAGGCATGTCCGCGGCCAACTCCGTGGTGGAGAGCGGGGGCCGCGTGGTGCTGCTGGACAAGTCCTCGTTCTGCGGGGGGAACTCCACCAAGGCGCGGAACGAACTCCGTCGCGTCGATCGCGGTTCCGAGGGAGCGATGTCTAGGGTGGCCTTGTTTTTCTTCTTTCTTCCTTTTGTTTTTCCACCGGATCCCTGGTGGGTGGCTCGTGCCTGTTTTTGAGGGAAGGACCGTGGTTTGGTGGGTTTTTGAAGGGAAATGAGAAGGAGAACTTACCGTTTTGGGGGGTTGCATCAAAAAAGACACACCCATGCGGGCAACGTATGTTTACCGGCTGGTTGCCGGACAAAGAGCTGGGGTTTGCTCTGCAAATTCGCCTGCTCACCGATCGGGATTCTTTTCATGGACGTGGTGGTTGGGGACCCGTCGGCGTTTGATTTGCCGTTAGGTGCTATTTCCCTTTTGTCTCTTTCTCGAAGGACCGCTTTGAAAGCCACTGCAAAGGGAAATCGCCATTTGGGGAATCCTCTATTTTGAGACACCCTTCAGTTGTTGGGCCCCCGCCTCCCCCCCCCCCCCCCATTTTTTTTGGGAAAAGAGGGGGTTAGGGTGCGTCACGCATCTCGCAAGTCTTGTTAGTTTCAGTCAATGCTCGTCAAAATTGATACATGCCCATTTGGTGGTTGTTCCAGACCCTCGTAGATGCTAAACAGTTGAAGCAACTTTCGCAAGGGTTCTAGTGTTTTTCTGGGCTGAAATCAGCCGTTTTCCGGCTGATGCCAAGCCAACCTTGTTATTTCGAAGGCCTTCGATTGCTACCGGGGAGGTGGCCCGGAAGAACCCTCTTGCTTTGCTTCGATAAGCAGGGTACCCGAGAACAATCCATCCATCCGATGTGGGGAAACCAGGGAATCCCAAGGCTTGACAGTGGGAACCACCAGTTTTTCCGGGCTCTTGGCATTTCTAGCCGCGTGGGGAAACAGCCGTCGAAGCGTTGCCTCAACGTGGGCCAACAGTTTCAGCAGCACCTCCTTTTGCTTTCCTTTGGAGGTTAGAATCCCAGCCGTTGGATCCTGGAAAAGCCGAAGATCCGAATATCCGAATATCCCACAAAGGGGACACGGTGAAAAGGTGCACATTCTTGCGGAGCCCGTCCACCGGAGCCGGTTGCTTTGCTTTCCAGGACTTCTTGGAACCGTTCGATATATTATATATATATATAAAAGCAAAAACAAAGACATGGGAATCCTTTCAACGAGCGTTTCTCCTGAATGTTTTGGAAAAGGCTCGGATCCCTCAAAATAAGAAGTTGGTGCTTTGGGTTGGTGGTGGGAGGGGGCAATTCGGTGTCTTTTTTTTTTTTTTAATAGGTCCCCCCTGAAATGGCACTCGGTTTCCTTTGAGCTTTGTCTTTGAATACCACAAAAGATACCCTCAAGAACAACACGAATATGGGTCAAAATTGAACCACCAGACCGCTCATTTTCCAGGGCAACCCATTTCCCTATGTTTGACAACCACAAAAGCATGGAGTTTGTCTCTTGACCCACACACAAACCTGGGCCTTGTCTCAACATGAAGGAACCCAACAAGGAAAACACAAACAGAAACAAACGCAAACAGAAAAGAAAACAAACAGCAACAATAAAAGCGACTTTCCTCGTTCGCAGGCCACCTCCGGCATCAACGGTGCAGGCGCCTGTGGGCGGGTTTTGGGCAGCGGTTTCTCGGGCGGCCCAAAGATCGGTTTCCCGAAAACTGGCCTCCTGCAATACCCGAAAACGGGGGGTTCCTCCCAGGGAACTTTGGGTAAGTCCATCGGGATCATTCCGGCTTGGCAGAAGTGCAGTTTGGTAGCTTGATTCCTTTGGGCTGTGTTGCACCGGTGGACTTTAGACCCCCCAGTGTCGTCACGAATCGAGGTGCCAAGCTCCTCAGCTTGCTAAAAGCAGCTTCGTACAAGCAGTTTGCCGTTTCCCTTTGGTTTACAGGCAACATCATCTGAAGAAGGGCCTTCTATTTTTGCACACCCTTTTTTCAACCTTCCTTTTGGCGACTTTTTTTGCTGGCCAATATGAGGTCTTCCAATTTCGTTGACACCCCAAAGCGCCGAATCGGGTAAGGAAGCGCGCAGGAAATGGGCTGCGCAAAAAAGGAGTGGGATCTTGAGGTCGCTCCTCTTGGGGTCTGTCTTGACGCCAAGGGAGGAGGGAAATCGGCTTGGCTCGCTCATCTTCACTGTGCTTCTAGGGGTTGATTCCAATTCCATTCATTTCAGCCATCGTTCTTTTCAAAAGCCAGCCATTTCCCCAGGGTTTTTGGTGGTTTTCTAGAAGGAAGGATCCCTGGAAAGAATGGGGAAGTCACCCCTAGAGTGTTAGCTCGAGGTTAGCCAACTCTAAATGAGGGTTTCAACTTCCAGTGGATGCTTTGACGTGGAACCATGAGTAAAGTAAGCAAAGTCGTCGGGAGGGAACCCGACTCGTTTTTGTGGACTGTTAGGGGTGTTTGTACATACTGCCGCTTGGTTAAATCATCCCCAAAGGCTCGCTGTTCATGCCCCTTCTCCCAAAAGGGCTACCCATCAGTGAGCTGTCAGTAGGAAGCCAAGGAACCGGAATGAAGGGTTGCGCATCACCTCCATTCTTGGCATGCGGCATGGTGAACGCCAGTTTTCCTCTTTGGGTGGGGCGGTTGGGGAGACCTGACGTCCTACCTCTCTCACAGTTCGGCTTATGTTTTTCAAAAGTGGCCCGCTATGACGAAGAGATGAGGAATGAAGCGGTGTAATTCTCTTCTTACCACCGCCTGACCAAGAGTTTTCAAGGTGTGAATGGTAAGACAAAGATAAGGACAAGAGATGTAGAAAGGAAAATATATTGTTCATCTTGTAGAAATTCATGCATTAATTCTAATAATAAAAAAATACATAGTAAAAAAGCAAAATAAATATTGGAAACGAAAATATAAATCAAAAGACAAAACACTATAAATAAATAATACAAAAAAAAACAGATAAACAAGACTAAGATATGAAAGTAACAGAGAAAAGAAATAACAAGATACAAACAAACAATTCCGGAACCTTTTCACCCCAAAACCACCTCGACATGTGTCGTGGTCTTTCTATTGGTTTCCCGTCAAACCAATAGAGTGGCTACCCTCAAACTGCACCCTGGCCAGGAAGCATGGCGCGTATGGGCTTCCATTTTTGGCGGTTGCATTTCATACTTTGCATGTCTCCCGCAAGACTTGAAATACATTCCAAATTGGCTCCTTCGCCTTCAAAGGAACTTGAACAGTGCGGGTCCTTTTTTTG